TGCAGATGTGCATCCTGCAGAAGGTGTCACATCCAGGCACCAGCCCAGCCAGCAGCTCGGCAGACATCTCCGGTCACCCTGTCTTAGGGTCGTGGGGACACAGGGACACAAGGACTGTGGATGCAGTGATGCAGGGATGCAGGGACACAGGGACGCAGGAACACAGAGATGCAGAGATCAAGGACAAAAGAATGCAGGGACACAGGGATGCAGAGATCAAGGCCACAAGGATGCAGAGAAGCAAGAATTGAGGACACAGGTATGCAGAAATAGATCAAGGACACGGGGAAGGAGGGAGACAGGGATGCAAGGGCTGAGGACACAGAGATGCAAGGACACAGGGATGCAGAGATCAAGCACACAGGGATGAAGGGATACAGGGATGCAAGGACACAAGGATCAAGGACAGAGATCATAGACACAGGGATGGGAGCAGGAGGTTTGGTTCCCACATGGTGTTTCAGCTGGAACAGCAAAAGAGTCACCGGCAACGGCGCCACGGTGACAGGGATGTCCTGGCCTGAGCAGGGCCTGCGTGGGATAAAGGAATGTGGGTCCAAGCGATGCTGATGGTGAAACCCAGGGAGATGGTGCGGAAAGGGCGGAGGGAAATGCCTGTGATGACAGAACGATAAAGCAGGTGATAACACACACCCACAGCAGCCTTCCTCACGCCGATGCGTGGAGCCCTGTCAGGCTGTTGCGCTGGCTGGAAAGCAACCCTACCAAAACAAACGAATCCGTGCACTGCTGCCGCATCCTCGGGGACGTAGCAGGAGGAGCCGTGATCTCCTGCCCCAACCTGCCAGGGTCGAGCATCCTCTCCCCGTGGACCGACTCACGCATTTATAGATGGGGTAAACCCATTTATAGATGGGGTTTTCCTTTCCCTTCCCGTTTTCTTTTCTTTTATTTTCTTTTTCTTTTTTTTTTTTTTTTTTGTGCAGCTCTTCTCTGCCGTACAGGGCCGTATTCCCCAATTTTCTGGCTCCCAGAGATAGTGAGAGCCCCGGGGCCAGGGGTCCACAGAGCAATGGGCTGGACGGAGGATGGCCAAGCAGTGGGCAAAGCTCTCCACAGGAGCCCGTTCCTAAATCCCTGGACCCGGAAAGCTGCCTGCAAACAGCCAGACCTTCCGCGAGGCTGTTCTGCATCCGGATTCGGGTAAATAAAGCACGGGGCGTGAGAGCTGCGGTATGCCAGGAATGCTGCAAGCCTTCCCAGGGCGGCTGCCTGCAGCTCTGGGGCAGCAGGAGCTGGGGGAGGGCAGGGCAGGTACGGTCCCTGGCTGGGGGGGCGGTCACCAGCACCCCCTGAACATCTTCCCAGCAGCAGCAGCTCCCTGTGAGCTTCCCTCCCAGTCCTCCCCATCGCTGGCCCCCCTTTTGGGGAGGGCAGAAGGGTCCCCTTCAGCCATGCCCTCCCTGTGCATTGCATGGAGGAGGGGGGAGCTTGTTTCCCTGCTTGTAAAAGCCAGGAGAAGCCATGGGTGGAAGGAGGAGCTCAGCTCCGAGCTTCCCGTCGCTCCAAGTCTTTCTAACCTGCTCTTGCAGTGATGGCGACTGGTCCCACGGCCACTGGAAGCCCTGAATTTTCAGCCACGCTCCTTCAGGTTGCTGGGTGAGAAGGGTAGAGCTGAGCTGGCGTTCAGCATGGTGGTCCCATCAAAACTGGTGATCCTCAACGGAGTCCTCAGCCACCTTCCAAGGAGGAGTTGGCAGCAGTGCTGGTTTCTTATGCCATTGTTCTGCATAATCCCAACTAAAGCCCATGGCAGAGACTTGCACAAGGTCTCCTGGTCCCCAGGGATGGCAGGATGGGAAAAAAACCCAAAACACCATCTGCCTATGAATGGCAAGAGATGCACAAAAGGGAAAGCCCCAGGCCAACTGGTGACGGCTCCAGCTGGGCTGCCAGCACCCAACTGGCCAGAGCAGAGTCCTCGGGGATGCTCCCTGGGAAGCATTAATGTGACAGCTATTAAAAATTAAAAGCAAATGACAGCAGCAAACAAAAAGCTCACGGGGGAAGGGCTGGGGAGCAGCATGGCATGGTTGTGGAAGACTTAAGGTAGCCCCAGCTTGAACACCAGGAGAACTTTTGGCCTCCCAGGAGACCAAGGTGCCAAGCAGGATGGGAAGGGCTTGGAGGTGGGTGACAAAGCCAGGGGAGAGCTTGGGGACCAGGACCAGCTGTGCGTGAAGGCAACGACCATCAAGGAGTCCCCCAAGGTGGAGGCATAGGAGGGCAGGAATGGGTCTTGCGAGGAAGAGAAGGATCCCATCAGGACGGAGTCACCGGAGTTCTACATGCAGGAAGAAAAGTACATCAACATTTCTAGGCAACTCCATCCTTTTCCCCCATCAAGGTGGGGTAAATGGGATCCCGTTGGGATTTTGGGGAACACAGAGATGCTCTACAGCATTTCCCCCCCACCTCTCCCAGGCAGCTTCACCCCAAATAGCTGTCCCCGGAGGGCAGAGAGGGGGTCACCACCCCTAGACCCCTTGCCCCCCCGCGGTGCTTCCGTCTCGCCCCATCGCACGGGGAGAAAAAATAAGTACCCATGGGTCAATATTTGGGGTTTTTTTATTAAAATATTGTTATACCAAGTGGAATGCTACAGCAATCTCGGTATAGGGCGGCATAACGAAACAGCCAGGTTTACGTTTAAATACTTAAGATAACTTAAAATGCACAAACAAGAACTCATCGTCTTTGGCAGGGAAAAAAAAAAAAACAAAGTTCACAGCACGAAAAAAAATACTTAAAAAGAAATACCAATATTAATATAAAATATATTAAGTTGTGGGGTGGTTTTTTTTTTTCCTCTTTCATAATTGTTTGTTTGTTTGTTTTCCGCTTTGTAAACAATGCACGAGAACCGAACGCATTTTTTACGTGTCTGGGAGAGAAAAAAAAATAAAAAATGCAGTTGTCCAGCAAATGCACATGTTTAAAGAAGAAAGAAAGAAAGAAAATATATATATATTTTTACACGAAGGGCAAGGACGGGAAGCGTCTGAGCTCGGAGGAGCAAGACGTCGGCGCTGGCTATGGGCAGAAGCCAGCTGCCCGTCGCCAGGAGTTGTGGTGGTAGGATCCATCAGCCGTCCTCGGTTTACTCCGAGCGTTTCGCCTCTGGTTTCGAGGGGATTTCTCCTCTATCTTTCATTCCCTCCATTAGCATTGTCTCTTCTGCTTCACCGCCACCCCATCCCGAACCCCTCGCCCGCCCATGATGAAAACCCAGAGGCAGGATGCAGGTGATGGAGGTTTGTGGCTCCCGGCTCTTGGCTTGGCCACGTGGCTACGGGCGGTCGATAGGACCACAGAGGATCCCTCCTGGCTCTGCCCTCTCACGAAGACATCGGCTTGTGGGTCCAGTTTGGATGAACAGAGAGGGATTTTCCAGTCAGTGGCCGAGCACTGGGGTGGGTGCGGGTGGCCGAGCCCCAGAGGTGGGATGGGGATGGAGCCGGGATGGGGATGGAGCCGACGAGGGAGGGGATGGGAAGAAGCCCCCTGCCTCGAGAAGGAGAAGAGGCTGAAACGATAAATAAGTTTGCTCCTGTCGTACAAAACCCGGGTGTATTTACAAGGGGGGTCACCAGGCCCCGCCACCACTGTGGGGTCCCCGGGCTCCAGCGCGCCCCGCGCAGCTGGGGGACCCGCGTGGGTGCCAAGCC